TACTCAGAGTGGCTCAGATTGACCTCAGGGGACAGAGGGGGGATTTTGTGGCGATTAAACTGTATTTTTCAGCAAATGTTTTGTGTTTTTCAGCCTTTTGACGAAGACTACCTGAACCACCTGGACCCCCCGGTGAAGCACATGTCATTCCACGCTTACCTCCGAAAGCTGACCGGAGGAGCAGATAAGTGGGTTCTGGATCCCTCTGGTTTAGGGATGCAAATTATCGATTAATTCATTAATCATTAGTTGATTATCTTATCGATCCACTTTCGATTAATTGATAAGCGGACGTTTTTCACCTGAGTTTCAGGGCTTCAATAGGGCCTTGATATAATTGAGGTATTATATTACATTAGCCAACATTATGATACCATAATTATATTGTATTATATTATACATTCCTCAAGTAATTATGCATTAGGAGAAGAAAGCAGACACGTTTTTAAGGTAAAAAAAGAGAACATTTGACTTCTTTGCCTGAATTAACAATATTGAAGTGGTCCCACACCGCACTTCTTTTCGCCCGCTTCATTTTATTTTCAACCCTGGTCTCTCTCGTTCTCACGCTGTGTTCAAGTTACAGTAAAGCGCTAGCACCCTCTAGTGGTTAATCGTGATTAATACATTTTGATCGAGCAACCTCCTGATCGACAATTAATCTAAAGTCGATTAACCGTTTGAATCCCTAGTCTGGTTCGGTTCTCCGGACCGCCCTCGGGTTCTTTTTTTTTTATGGTAGTAGAACTGAAATCTGCGTACCGTGCAATGCTGAGCAAAATTGCTTTGCCAAGGGAGGCTTTGTTAGTGAGAATTACCCAAAACTTCTTTATTTATTCATTTTTGTTACCAAACTTCCATGTGTCCAATAATGCCGAACCTGACAGAGGGACAGGGGGGAGGGGAGAGTAGTGGAAAGGAGAGAGATCCTTTAGAAATGGAGAGAGGGGGGAGAGAGAAAAAATAAATAAATAAATAAAAATGAAAGAAAATAAATTTAAAAAAAGGAGAGAGAAAGACAACAAGACCATATGAGCAGCCGTTATGTCTGCAAAAAGGACACTGTTCCTTGTGGGAAATCCGAGTGGAGAACCTTTGGTGGAGAACCTTTGGTGGAGAACCTTTGGTGGAGAACCTTTGGTGGAGAACCTGTAGGACAGGGGTGGGCAACTAGTCACAGACTAAGAGACACTTTTTATTCTGTGTTACTGCAAAGAGCCACATCATACACATGGGTACACATGAACATCATCTTTAACTCATTGACTGGCAGCCATTTTCAGAACAGAGAGTCGCTCACTGCCAGAGTTTTTTGAGCATTTTGACTGATTTTTCAAGAGTCACAGAATAGTTTGTGCTTTGACTATGTAAACACCGAACACACCAAAAGAAAGAGTAGACTCTCTTCTTTCATCAGGAAAA